CGGAAAATATTATATTAAAACCTCAAACTTTTTTTGAAACAAGTATCGGTATACTGCTGCAATAAAAAAAAAAACCCAGCTAAATTAAATTGATGCGAACGAGTCAAACTAACGGACCCGCTTGTGCATTAAACATTAAGTGACATTTGATTTGGATACGTCGCAACCCGTTCATTCGATATCGAACTTTTATAAACTGTAATGGAGATCAATTGGAAACGTTTAAAATAACCGTTAATAAGTTATGATGTTTCAATCTCGACGAAATGGGCCGGCAAAAATGTTTCGTGTTCCATTCGATGTTCGTGACTGTGTTTGTTTTTTTAATTTTGTGAACCCTTTTTTAGGTTTTTTTTTATGGCTTAAATGGGTGGACGAGCTCACAGTCCACCTGGTGTTACTGGAGCCCATAGACATCCACAACGTAAATGCGCCACCCACCTTGAGATATAAGTTCTAAGGTCTCGGTATAGTCACAACGGCTTCCCCGCCCTTCAAACCGAAACGCATTACTGCTTTACGGCAGAAACAGGCAGATAGGTAGTACCTACCCGTGCGGACTCAGAAGTGGTCCTACCACCAGTAAAGAAAGAAGTTGTCATGATTTTAGATTTTGAGAGTAATAGTGTCTTTACGCAATACAATTGAGCTTCGTCCTCATGACAATAAGATTAGTTGTATTCAGGTTATGTGGTCCATGGGATCATCTCTGTACTTAAGCCAGCTGTTGCCTATAAATGTAGTGCAAACAAATAAATATGCTTTCGAAACCATGCAAAACGGTATATAAGTGATAAAGACTAAAATAAATTAAATTACATATGTGTACGTCTTCAAACACGATGTTAATAACATAAATGAAATACAAAAGGTCTGGGGAACGCGAGGAGTGAAGTTGTGTGATCTGTTTTATTTTGTCTATTTAGTTTTTCTTCAGGTTTAAATGTGTAATAACGGTGGTTTATTAACTGTTTAATATCTGTGAAAGTGCACAAAAGTGGGAAAATGAAACAAAGCCGCTGGACGTAACTTCTTGGGATCCTCCAAAAGTCCACTGAAAAAATCACCGTAAATGACCACAATTTTACTGAGATTATATTTCATCTAATATCATTTCGACTCATTTCATTTAATTTCATCCCAGTTGATTAATGTCTCCAATTAATCATATTCATCTCATTTCATTTCATTTCACTTCATATTATAATTTTTCATAAAAATAAGAATATAAATTAAAATAAGACATGACCTAAAGGTCTTAGCTACCAGGTCATAAAATCCCTTAAAAAAAAAAACAAAAGGTCTCGTCGATTCAATCAGTTCCCACGTACCGCGGCCTTGATGAAAGATCTACTCGCGCCTCGAGTGTTGTGGCAGCGACAACGATCACACCTTTGCCCAAACAAAGAAATTCATTCATTTAACATAAAAACATTCTTGAAAATGAAATGCTAATTCCTTTTTTAGCGCTCATTTTAATGCGACCGACGTTCTTAATGAATTAAGTGCCTGAGGCACAGGTGTTCGGTACCATACAGCTTAATGAAAATGTCCGTGGGAATTATAGGCCAGTTCTTGTATGGCTTAATGCGGAAATAAAATAAAAAAAGTTGTTATTAGAGATGTTTAGGAAAATTCGTTATCGGCAAGCGGTTCTTAAAGGATACACATGAAGGTTAGTTGACGTTAGCAGAACTATGGCTTTTAATGGTAACCATGAAAACATATTTCTTTTTACATTTCAATTGTGACTTGATAAAACAAAAAAGATAATAGTAAGTATTTCAGTGTATGAATGGTAGATCACTTCAAATCGTTCGATTTTTGCTTCACAAGCACACACGATGCATAAAATCGATTCTTAAGGCACCAAAGATCACAACTTTAGAAAATTATCAGTAAATATATTAGGGATTTACAGAAAAGCTTTAATTAAATATCCTCACGCCGAAGGTCGCGAGTGCAGTGAGGACGTCGCGCCTGTGGGTGTTGTAATGCGGTAATCACACAATAATACAAATAGGATTAGGATCGGGACCCCACGCGCTTAGACAGGACGTACACATATACACACACACATACGAACACACGACTAAAATGTGTAACCGGCTCATTTGGCAAATTTGAAACGATTTTAGACTTTTCTGGCAGATATGTATATCTATGCTGTTTAATATTTGATCAGCTCCCTAATTTTATGTGTCAAATTAGCCAATTTTTTTTTTTGTTATTGCTTAGACTGGTGAATGATTTCCCGGCTCACCTGACGTTAAGTGGTTACTGAAGCCCATAGACATCAACAACATGCTGCCAGCTGCCTTAGGTTATAAGTTTTAAGTCTCAATTTTAAAGTACAAAGGCTGCCCTTCAAACCAAGATTCATTACTGCTACGCGTCAGAAATAGACAAGGAGCTGGTACCTATCACCATACCTTATACCACCGGTAAACTTCTTAATACGAAATATGCACGATAACGACGTTCACTCTTCATCTTATATTCTTCCTTTTCTTTTCTTGCAAACTTTTATTATGCTATTTGACGGAAATATAATATTCCCCTCGATAAGTGTTTGATATCTGTGATTTATTATCTAGATTACCTGTGTGACATTTACGACGATTTTATCACTGCGAATCAGTGAACGGCTGTCTTTACCGTCTCAATAAATTTATTAAACAACGTTTCAAACTAAATCCACGGCTTTTCTGAATCCTAAAAGCAAAACACAGTTCTATTATGGCGATCACAAGCGAATCGTTGTTTTAATCCAATAATATACAGGATGAAGTCTCGCTCGTGATGTATGACGTAAGGCAACGCGGCGTGCGCCCGCGCATCGTTTAGCGGAACCATTTACTGTCCTATAACAAGCCGTCGCGAATCCACACGTGGGTCTCATACAATTGAATATCATTGCCATTTTCCTCTCGCTAATAAAATTATGTCCGTCAATGGGTATTAATGAAACGTGTCCTTGTTCGGTGAATTAGTCGGGGGAAAAAAAATACGGGATTTTGTGACAAGTGTCATATCACATCAACATGTCAAATTTGAGTACAGGGTTTTTTGATGAATGGGTAAAAAAAAAGAAAAAAAAAAGTATAAAAATATTTTATTTGAGTTGTGATATCATGATTTACAATTCAAAGAATGATATTATTAAATTGTAGCTTTGCGTTAAGAAGTAATTTGATTGTCCTCTGCCTAGGTCTGTGAGCGATGATGGCCTCTTTTAATGTGTATTGCACTAGACGTGTCGAAGACACGTCCTTATGGATCCATCAGATCCTATAATTCTTGCATTAGAGCAGGCTTAGGGATCCCGATAACCGTATTCGTCGAGCTATTATATTCTATAGTATTTGACGTGCAACCTAACCCATGCATCAGTCCGTTGAGTTTCTCGTGGGATCTTCTCAGCGGGTCGCGAATCCGATCCGGTAGTAGATTCATTCGCGAAGCAGCTGCTTTTGAGTTGTGAAGTCTCCTTTGGAAGCGGACCCCTCTTGGCTAAGCCTTTGCTCGCCCACTTGTCCTGGCAAATTGAAAAGGCCTCCGGGCCACCACTAATCGTTGAATCATAAAAAAGTATTGTCGTAACATTTTCTCGACTTTCTTTTTGTTTGTTAAAAAATGGGAGTCTTTGAAAATTGAGTAAGTATAGAATTACAACAAAAGTGCAGAACGGCTATCAACGCTGCATAATGATACAATGTAGAAGTTTACTCATCGAAATTAATTGATTTATGCGCTCTGTGTCCTTTGCGATTGTACGACGACCTATATAAGGTATAAATTTGTTTTCATCGCTAAATGAGAATTTATGTAGCTTTGTAGAGCGTCCCACAGCCCTCGGGACTAATGATTTGAGGCGATCGTTGATTCTGTAGCGTATATAGGAAAAAAGCAACATGGATTGACGTTGCATATATTGTAAATGGTTAACATTAAAAAAAAAAAACAGAAATTATAAGCCTTTTTGTAAATAAACAAGCATATTGAGTCATATTTAGCGTTGCCCACTGGTTTCTCTGATATTTAAATTGAGAGCTAAGTGTGAGATTCAATTATTTATATTTAGTGCAATGTTGCAACAGTTAAAAAATAATCAACATTATTTAACGTATTACCTACTTTAAATGATTATTATCGGCTCATGGCTAGTGTACAACGTAGGATTAGTTCGTTTGCCGACCGGAGTAAATTTTAATAGACATTTCACGTATAGGTATGTGTCCGGTACAAACAATAGAAAATACTTTTTATTTTTCCTATAATCTCGAGGGGTTATTCTAGATTCACTGAGTTAGTAGGTGAGCTCACGGGTCTTGAACCGGGTGTTGCTAACAGTGGCCCTAGCAAGAGCAGTGCTTCGCAGAATCTACCACTGGATCGGAAACGCGACCCACTGAGAAGATCCGACAAGAAACTCAGTAGGCTGTGTCTATGGGTTAATTTACTCGTCGAGCCTTTCGTTGCAAGCGACGGGTTCGGCGAGGACGGTGACCGGTGTTTGAGGTACCTAAAAGCACCATTATCGGGAAGATCCGTAATGACGTGAAAAATTCTAGACGAGCGTTGAATGTTTTAAAATTTTAAGAATGCAATAGAGCGGTTCAATAAACCTTATAGGTATGTAAGCGACAGATGCTTTCTATATATTTTTGTTATAGTTTATATTCTGAAAAGGAAAACTGATGAAAGATTATGGATAAGAAAATAAATAATTAGACTTACAGAATCATATTTAGTCTGCAATATGAAGCAAAGTCAAAAATGTAATTAACAAAACGACTTTATTTTACAACCAAAAGACAAAAATCTTATTATTATTTATTAGTATTATTCAACAATACACACCTTACCTTTATGATGTATGATGACAGACTGAAACACCGATTGTTAATGCGAGCGTTCTACATACAAACAACTAGATGAAAACCAAGATGTCATATATCTTGGTGCACACACACAAAACCCAACTTTAAATGTAACAGGATACAGCTGGTTATTTAATATACTACAATCACGAGATCAGAGAAAAGCCTTTATGCCAGGTAAGATACCTAATCTTACATTCAAACAGATGCATCAGAACCAAAACGCTTTATATCCAATCAGCAAATTTAAACTAACACTAAAGTCAAATGAATAAAGTAGGTTATCCTTCTATAGTGAACGAGGAATCGGTATTCTTAGTCGGTTTAATTCTAGGCACGTACTGGATACGAAGCGGTCTCATTCGTATGAGAATTAGATAGAGTAATTATTTGTTATGTGATTATATGAGCGGTTCGCTTTGTAATGATTGTTAAGGAAAATGTAATGTATATAGCTATACGGATGTAGATGGGGAAATTGCTTACAATTCATCTAACGTTAATCGTACCTATACTAAAACTATAGATATGTTAAAAAGGTGAAAAAAAAACTTGTGAAGTCTTACCTCCATTTTAAAGAGAGTTGGCTGTTCGAACTCCCGAGAAGAACATGCGAAATAAAACGGTGTTGCCATTTTTAAAATTCAGCACTTTGCTTTTTTGACGTGACAACGTCTTATGATTCGATGTAGCCGGCTGCAGGCACGAAAAAACATGATTCATGCAGCGTTACCACGCTCTGAGGCGTTCCGTTGAAGGCTTGAAGTGCAAGCGAGAGCACGCAACGAGCGACAACGAGGCACATTCGGCCTCCGCGTTCGGCAGCGTTCGATATCTGTCTCTCTCCTACTTGAGTGAGCGATGCATCCGCGTGGACAGCTGCTGCTGCTATACAATAACACATTTACATGTTTTCGTCAAATATGAAGTTCAGTGCAAAGTGAATGTGGTGTCAATTGTCCATACAAAATATCTAACAAACAAATAAAATTAAATATTTTTTTTTTAAATGAAACCATTCCATCAGTATTTTCTTATGACGTTGTCACGTTCAACTATCGACTTTACAGACAACCGATTTTTTTTAAGCTGCTAACTACTACATACATACACTATACTTTATTTTCTGGATTAAAAAAGGTAGTGTCTTGATTGATTGATTATTTAAAAATGTCGGCTTAATATACTATGTTTTCTTGTGAGTGTTCATGGATCTGTGAATAGTTAATTCAAAGGGAGGTTTTGTAAAATTTTCTCTGAAGAATACCCCAAAAACACTTTAATATTTATTTTCGGATTACTTCCATAAAATCAAGATAATACTAAAACTTGTTGACGGTTACGCAAAAGAAAAATTAAAATTAAAATCGGTTCAAAAATGGAAAATAGTATGTACTTACTTGTTTCGTCTTTGCCTATAAATTAAATTGTTTATAGATTGTGTTAGGACTATGTTTTCTAATTTCTTTTTTAATTCTCTATCCATCTGTTGAATCTTTAGGCCAAATTACGTATACCTACAAAAAGTTGAAATAAAAAGGGCGGTAAAAACTAAAAACGGTGCAGATGAAAAACTTTTTTTTATTTAGATCAAAATTTTACGAAGGAGTTTCGGTGTGAGTATTCTATTGTTTTGCCGATCCGGACATCATTAAGCATTTAAAAGATTGCTATAATATTTTCGTGATTAGAAACTGCACTGGGACTGCTCTTAGGTTATATACTACACAGTTAAGAGTGTGCTTTTATTAGACAACAATTAGTGCCTGTACCTTGACTTTAGGGACATATTAATTGGAAATCTATCCCGGAACTGTAATCAAAACCTTAGCAAAATCTTAGCCATTGTATGTACATATTTATTTGTTAAGTTTTTTTCATTGCTTAGGTGGCTGGGCGATTTCAAGGCCCACCTGGTGTAAAGTGGTTACTGGAGCCCATAGGCATATATAATATAAATGCCAACACCCACCTTGAGATATAAGCTCTAAGGTAAATTTTTACAGTACAACGGCTAGCCTACCTCTTCAAACTGAAACGCATTACTGCTTCACGGTAGAAATAGGCAGGGTAACTACTCGTGTGGACTCAAGATATCCTACCATCAGTAAAAGTGATTGTCAAGCTAAAAGTTATCGTATTATTAGCTACATAAAAGTTATTGTGTTTGTTTAGTTGGCGAGCGGCGGTGGCGGCGGGCGCGGCCTGTTCTGCTACCACTGCCCGCCGAGCTTGCCGCCTCACCAGCACCGCCTGCCGACCCTCGAGTACCCGTTCACGGCTTCACACCCATGTAAGTGCATGCAGTAACAAAGGAAAGCATCCTTCAGTTTTGTAACATAAAATGGGCACGTTTGAGGAATATCCATGTTTATCTCCACCGTACCCAGTGTACCCCACAGTACCCCCGCGGTGGCGGTATTTACGTTGTAGATGCTATGGGCTCCAGTAAGCACTTAACAACAGGTGGGCTGTGAGCTCGTCCACCCATCTAAGCAATTAAAAAAAGACGATCCTAATGCTCTCAGAAAATATAGGTCTTGAGTTATGAAGAGATCGTGAGTAAGATATTAGATGTATTTTTTATTGTTTTGGGATTAGGAGAATATGAGAGAAAACATAAATACACACTGTTATAACATCGTGTAATAGAATGATTTTTTTATTTGTTTACTGGCGTATTGTGAGCTCACTCAGATAGTCACCTTCTTACGGCCTATACACTATTCGTGATGATAATGTTTCGCAAAACATTTGAGACTCCACTACTTAATGCCAGAACATATATCTAGGTACGGCAATTAATAAAATAATGGGAGCTCTAAGAGCCGGATTTATAAACGTCATGGCATGAGACACGAATGTGGAGTCTCAATTGTATTGTATTTTTATATGTTTAATGTTGAATATTTATCGGAACCCATATACATCAAAATATAAATGACACTACCCTCCTTGAGACATGGGAAGCTCATTGAGTTTCTCACCGGATCTTCTCAGTGGGTCGCGTTTTCGTGGTAGTTTTTTTTTTATTGCTAGATGGGTGGACGAGCTCACAGCCCATCTGGTGTTAAGTGGTTACTGGAGCCCATAGACATCTACGACGTAAATGCGCCACCCACCTTGAGATATAAGTTCTAAGGTCTCAAGTATAGTTACAACGGCTGCCCCACCTTTCAAACCGAAACGCATTACTGCTTCACGGCAGAAATAGGCAGGGCGGTGGTACCTACCCGCGCGGACTCACAAGAGATCCTACCACCAGTAATTATGCAAATTATAATTTTGCGGGTTTCATTTTTATTACACGATGTTATTCCTTCACCGTGGAAGTCAATCGTGAACATTTGTTGAGTACGTATTTCATTAGAAAAATTGGTACCCGCCTGAGATTCGAACACCGGTGCATCGCTCAACACGAATGCACCGGACGTCTTATCCCTTAGGCTACGACGACTTTAAAGCACTTTCTGCGAAGCATTGCTCTTGCTGGGGCCAATGTTAGCAACGCCTCTCAAGGCTATCAGATTAGGTAGCGAAAATAAAGAGAGACATGGGTTCTAAGTCTTAGTTAGTTAGCACAACGACTGCCGTACACTTCGAGCTGAAACGCATTACTGTGTCTAAGCAGAAATAGACAGGGAGTTAATGGATGGATCATTTTTCAAGCGAAAGTGTACATTTGGTGCAGAAAGAGTGGAAATATTGGTAGTGAATAGCTTTGACGATCCACAATACCTCTTGGCTGGTAGCCTCAAGGGGATATTCCAACTTCTCCGGGTTGGTAGGTGGGCTCATGTATGACCGTCAGCAATATGGCGAGGACATAGCCAAGCCGCTTCCCACACAGCTGCTGCTCCGGTCTGTGTGTTAAGCATACGGGAGTATACTGGTAGATACAGTCTATAAATCACATTGGGCCACTATGGCCTATTGATAACGAGGTAATATTTGCAGAAGTAAGATTAATGTAAACACTTTAATTGAAAATTAAAATTTATTACTAATTAAAATTACTGATTAAATTCGCATAAATTCAGCTGACGAAGTTTGAAAGCTAGCGATCGTGGACTAATAAAATTATTGAGATTCGAGTCTCTTGTTGTGGTTACCAAACTTGATTTTAAACTTATTTTTAAGCAGTCAATTTTATTCAGCGAATAATTAATTCATTTTATTCATGTCTACTGTAACTCTTTATATTATCGCCATGTATTAACTTTATCACAGCTACGCACTTCTTGAATCTTTCACTTCATCAACGAGGGTTAACTGGAAGAGAATGTCTGTCTGCAAGGCGTTAAGTTCGCCTTTGTACAATGTTTTGTGCAATAAAGAATTTTCATTCATTCATTCATTTTAATTTTTATAATAAAAGTAAATGTAATTTATTTATTTCTATATTACACCTAATGTATTCATCTACATTGGCGAACTTAATGCCTAAGACATTCTCTACCACATCAACCAAAGGTTAAACCTATCAAATATCTATTGCTAACTGCATTGAAATATTTATAAATTAGACACACAAACGCATAAAATGTATACAGTTTCCAACAAAGACGGTAAATACATTAAAGATATGTCACAAAAATAATTACATACCTACTAAACACAAGTTACAATTTATTTATTTTTCCTTTTATAAATGACTTATCATCTATAACTGAACTTTAAACCGATTCCAATCAACCATTTTGAGCTGTGCGCCTACGAATAAATAATTATTTATTCGTAGGTATGCGCTCACTTTTTGATTTATTTGTTGAATCATAACAATAAGCCCAGATAAAAAACGTAGGAATTAAAGACTTTAACAACCTAACGTTACAGCTTTTCGATTATAGATATCGCTAAAATCGTCTACGTACCTATGTATAATAATATAGATAAAACCGTAAGATCAGTTTTACTTAGTTGTACGTATTGCGAAAAGCGAAGAAAATACAAGTGAAATTAAGTAAGTATTTTTTTTAAATAATAGTCGAATGCGTTATCGTTTTAAAATTAAAATTGATTTTTCATTAAACCAAAAATGCATTAGTAAATAAAGTATCAAATACCCGTAAAAACAAAAACCATAATTTAATTGGTAATAAACAATTAATATAATAGAGGGATTGCAGAGACGAATCAAAACCAGTGGATTGTAGATTGTAGAGTAAATGCGCTAACCCATTAGATCGAATCAAGTGAGCGGGTTAGATAAACCTCGACTGGCACAAATCAGTTTCTTTCGAGTTATCCGGATTCCGTGCCCGAGGGGTGGTAATGTGCTAATGAATAGAAGGCAGGGGTGTCCCGGGGGTGAGGTGCAGGGGTGCGTCGCCGGCGGGGGGTGGGCGGCGCTCCCTTGGGATTGGCCGCCGCTATCACCATCTATTATTCATAAAATAGTTTTTGAGTCGCGCGCCGCCGCTCGTTTTAACAACGTTACAGCGCTTAACTTAATAAGTATCATGTCACTTGCGATTAGGAGGCGAGCGTTTCAGTTTTTTAGTCACAGCGACGATCAAAGGACGAGATAACCTAGTTATACAGTGCGCCCTTATTTCATTTGGTCCGTCGAAAATGACAGGCGGCCCCGTCGGTGTAATTGCGTAAATTTATTAATTTTTAAAATCTATTAGCGGAGTAGCGGGACGGGGGGAGGGAGGTTGGAAGTTTTAAAAAGCGTCGGCTACGTAGTGGATAAAAAAAGCGGCTTAAACGAGTCTATTAAATATTTATAAGGCAATTTCGAGCGGTCTGTCTGAACGTCCTGGGCGGCTCATTAGCGCGCAATCACATCGCGTGCTATTTGCTTTGGACTTTTCAATTATTACATAGTTTTTTTTATGGTTGTTAATTTGAGATTATAGCTCACAATATACCCAACCATCAGTACAGTTGTCATTTACAAGAACAGCTTAAGTTTTAACGTTTTGCGAACATAATGATTTATGGGTAAATTGTCAACTATTTTTTTCAATTTGGATGAAATTAAATTTTCAAATCATTAGTTTCTCAAATCGGGAATTGTATAATACTACTTATTCGTGTTTAATATTATGATTGATAATTTGTTCATATTTCGAGATTATGTTAACATTCCAAATTTGCAAAATCACCAACTATACTGCAAACATACTACAGATAGGTAATTCCACGTGAAATGATTTTCTCGCATTGATTATTTTCTTTTCCATTAACTTAAGATAAAAAAGCAACTATAAAATTCACAATAAATAACATTTTCAAATTATTATTTCTTCTGTATTTCCTTTTCTTTTATTACAGTTTTCCACCCAAAGCTTTGCCCTTGTGAACTACATTTTCAATCGCGTGGACGCTTCCAGTGCCCAAACTATTCCTAACAGACAGAGTTCTAACAAACAAACAGAGTTTTGTATTTTAATCTGGATAGTCAATTAAAAACTCTTTCATTCGTAATGAGAAGCACGTACAACAAAAATATATTAATGAGTTTTTATTTTTAACAGCTAGTTAGATATGTTTTTAATATGGCCGCATTAGCTATCCAAATAAATAAAAATTCTAAGCTCTGTTTTTCTGCTAAGCCATTACGCCGAAGAAACTTTCGTTTTTCCGCATACTTAAAGCTAAACAAAGAAACGTTATAAAACGTGTAGCGTACTTGAAACAATTTCCATTAACCCTATAGTTAGTTAACTAATCTCTGGCTCGCCTAACTTTTTCCACTGCACCCCGTTAAGGCCGGACGCGGAGCACTTTTAATTTCCGCCCCACGGAGATTTTTATAAAGCCATCCAGAAATGAAAACTCAATTATTTACATTCAATTAATGAAAATATTTTAATCTCCCTTTTAAAATTACGTTTATGAATGTTTGCGGTGTTGTTTGATTTTGCGGAACGTAAATAGTATAATGTAGGTACTTATAGTCAACGCTAGTGACTAGTACTTTTAAAGATTGCGGATTTTTTGAAGTGAAAACTTCTTTAGAATCGTTGTGATTTCAAACCGGATGCAACGGAAAAAACGACAGGTAAGAGACACAAATACAAAAATGTGTAGGATGAAGCCATGCAAAGAATGAGACAGAAATATACATACTATTTAATACAGCGCCATCTGTGAGATTTTTTAATACTAACGTGTGTATGAAAGCTCTTGTAGTGAATTTTAATTTAGGATTATACGTGAAATTAAAATATCTATTCACAGAGGGCGCTACCTTACAATTATTAACTAATGACAAAATTTTACATATACTTAAGACGTTTAGGATAATTGTATTTTAATTTTGGAAGGTTTCACTTCTACCACGTGTGAATTGCACACATTTTGTTTTTTTTCTACATTTAATGCTTAAGTTAATACTTACTACTGCGTGTAAATAACACAATAGTGCTTAAGATTTAAAAGATACACAAAAACGAAAGGAAGAAGCTATTTGGTTATTAGAAATTTGTATTATATACTTGGTATAAACTGTTATATGAATAGAACAAGCTCCTAATTGAATTTTATTTACGTCCCTAGTGAGCTCGCCTCCATCCATGAGACTAGAGGAAATTACAAAATTGGTTAAAGGGCTATCCCGCTTTTTTGGCCCACTGAGTTTCTTGCCGGATCTTCTCAGTGGGTCGCATTTCCGATCCAGTTGTAGATTCTGCGAAGCACTGCTCTTGCTAAGGCCAGTATTAGCAACACTCCCGGTTAGAGCCCCGTGAGCTCACCTACACATCAAGGAGAAGCTGAAATAGCCTCTCAAGGCTGTTATCTCTCTTCTCTCTTCTTTGTCGTTTCCTCATTACTGAGGGTCGTGACCACCTTGGTCCAGTTTTTGCACCAGCTTCCTCCAATATTGCCTGCATTTGGCCTGCTTAATGGCGCCCGGGACGCTGGTGTTTGTGGCCTCCTTGATAATGTCCTAAGTAATAAGGCTGTTTGTTATAGGTAGGAAAAAAAGGAAAAAAAAACCCGCTTTTAAAACCGGAATACCTAATTGGTTTGCGGTATGATGGTGGCACCTACAAGCTCGAGTCAACAGTACGCCAATTAAAAATAAATGGTTAGCGACAAGGACCATTAGGAGGGATCCTTGAGAGCACAAATAACTTAAAATTTATGAATACTGTCTCTCATTCTACTGGTGTTAGGGTAACTTGTGAGCCCGCGCTAGTCGGTACCAGCCTGCCTATTTCTGCGGTGAAGCAGTAGTCCGTTTCGGTTTGAAGTGTGGAGCAGCTGTTGTACTGAAAAATTGGGACTTAGAAGGTCTCAAGGTGGGTGGCAACATTAACGTGATTAATGCCTATGGCCTTCGGTGATCACTGAACATCAGGTTGGCTTTGAAGTCGTCCAAAAATCTTAGAAAAAAGTAACAATACCGGCTTGTCTTCCAAAACAAATGAAAAGTCATCGTACGAGTCTTGCATTCAATAATACTGTCCATTATGGGTAATTTTCGCCAAGTAACGTATTATTATCTTGTGGAATAATAGAAACGTCAGTAACGAAGGGGCGGCCGGCGTTTGTCACTGAATTTATTGCGTCACTTTAGGGTGACCATGATTTATAACAAAAATTGTAAATTCGTGTGGAATACTACTTTAGAATACTATTTTACACTTACAAGCTTTGCTCACGATGATCTTACGTCCCTATTTAGGCTGAGGTCCTTGGAAACTATAGTGTGAAACATCTAACTTCGGATGTTACGTGGACGCCTGACAAGCATCGTATTAAGCAGATTTATGCGTCCATAATTAGGTAGGACGGCTTGAGCAATGCAATATGCATGCATGAGCAATATTAGCAAGAAAAGTAATGTTATTTAAGAAAACAGGATTAGCTTTGAACGGTTAACTAGTTCTTTTGTCGTCTATTTTATGAGAATGGTCAATTCATTCCTTATCGTCTGGTTCGTGTCAGTCTTTTAGGAAGTAATTAAAAGCACTGCCTGCCGCTAGGCACGTTCGCCTCCGTTCCATTTTTCTCTTTGTTTCTTTTAAAATTCTTGTCAAGTCTTTGTTTTAGTCTATGTCTAGTCATTGTAGGTCTTATATTCTGTCAAAGAGGTTGCACGCCACGACAAGCTTATTACGACTGAGGCTATATGATGAGGTACTTATAGTAACAGATTGATAGTATCCTCGTGCCATTATCTTCTGAATAATACGCAAAAAATCCTTAGTCCTACGACCTTTTGAGGATAGAATTATAAAAACCCCTTGGTTCCCTTCTGGAGTAGTAAAAAAATATTTCCTCTAAAATTTTAATCTAATTGGATCTTAACAGCTTAGACTGTACTTTGTCTGTTCGTCAGTAACAGTATTGTTTTGTAAGTGGAAATGTAAGCTGTATTCATTGGCTTTTACGGTCGATAATATACCCTCTTAATTTATGACCGTTCTTCGTTTCGCAGTAACTTAATGAAATAGCTACGAAATAAAACATCTCTTGATACCCACAATTTATGGACACCGCACAATAGTGTCCCCGCCTCATCAATTCCCATAGACACGAGATCCGCTCAGCCGGTAATAACTGTAGGGCGGCGATTTAGCACTCTCCGTGTAATGGGCCAGCCCTTCCGGACTCACTAGACGTTTATTTTACTGGTGTTTTTATTATTAGGTATAAATTTATCTATTGAAATTGTATTTATGCAAATTAGTAACTAGCGCGTATGCTTCTTCGAAATTTCTAGTAATGATTGCTATCGCGACTCAGGGTTTCTCAGTTTTATTCTTTTCACCGCTAGATGGCGTTAGGTAGTTAGATTTAGCAGCCCATTGCATTTCTCGCAGGATCTACTCAGTGGGTCGCGTATCCGATCCGGTGGTATATTTTGCGAAGCATTGCTCTTGCCAGTGCTAGTAGCACCTCCTGGTTTGGCCCCGAGAGCTCACTTGCAGGCTAGGGTAACGCTGCTATAGCCTCTCAAGGCTATCAGCATAGGTAGGGAAAAAAAGAGATTTAAGTATCTTCGAAATGGCTGTCCAATGCTTCGAATTAGAACGCACTACAGTTTCGCGATAGAGCAATATTTATTTGCACCTAGCTTTGCAGCATCAAAACCTTGTCCTTGCGTCTAAAAAATTAAATGATTGGTAAAATAGAATATTCTTTTTGATTGTTACAGATACAAGTTATTCATATCATCCGGCGATACACGATGATACGTTCGTACGTCGGAAACAGAGGCGGAACCGCACCACATTCACTTTACAGCAGGTAAATATATGTATATATTGGATTATTTATTGGACGATATAACGAAATTTGCCAAAATGTAGCCAGTAGCCGGTCTCCGCTGATAACACACAAACAATGTTCAAAAACACATCGGCAATGCTCGCTAAAATGGATCGAGTTCATTATTTACATACCTATGCTGATAGCCTTGAGAAGCTACTTCAGTTTTATCCTAACGTGTAGGTGAGCTCACGGGGCTCAAACCGAAAGTGTTGCTAACACTGGCCCTAGTAAAAGCAGTGCTTCGCAGAATCTACCACCGGATTGGAAACGCGACCCACTGAGAAGATCCGGCGAGAAACTTAGTGGGCTGTGTCTAATTATTATATATGTGAAGTGATGTCCTTGTGTACTTATATCGAAATATCAAAACAGTGAATAGTCGGTGGAGCACTGCCGAAGCAGCTATTGGTTATTATCTATATATTAATACGTGAAGCAAAAACTTTGTATCCTTTTTTACGAAACTTGCGCGGACGGAGGAGTATGAAATTTTCCACACTTATAGAGTATATAGAGAAGAAGTGCACAATGCTAATATTTTTTTAGAATAATGCATAAAAGATACGTTAAATCAATAAAGAAAACATTTTGCACACTACATACCATATATTTGACGCAACACGCATGCATACTATTTATTGTCAAACTTTTGTTCTTGACGTCTGTTGTCAAATTGAGAATAGATTAAATATTGTTTGTCTTTGTTAATATTTTTTATAGTGTAGTCTTGGCGAAATTTGTGATTATAGAAATAAAAAATACAATCATAATAGTGTACAAACTTACAATTCCAATAAATTATAGTCGAATTTCGAATACTGCGGGACCACTAGTCATACTAAAACAGTCTTAAATTTGACAGCTCGAAGAATTGGAGACGGCGTTCGCCCAGACTCATTATCCGGACGTGTTTACACGAGAAGATCTAGCTCTCAAAATCAACCTCACGGAGGCCAGAGTGCAGGTTAGTAGACATTTCATTTGCAGCTTGTGCTACCGGCGCAGGGGATGATTACCGAATAAAAATATTTTTACAATATTTCTCGAGGTGGCAGAGGTGAAAGGTTCTTTGGTTTATGCGACATTTTAGCAACTTTATAGGAGAGCTATTTAAAGTTTAAAATTTGTAAAAAATATCGTAATAAACAAAAACTTCTTCAGCTATTTGAAAGCGGTAAACGTCATTGAAGTTCAATTAAACCATCGAATTGTTGGTGCTAATACGAAATAAAACGGATCCTTAAAATTTTTACTGGTGGTAGGACCTCTTGTACGTCCGTATGCGTAGGTACCACCACCGTGCACATTTATACCGTGAAGCAGTAATGCGTTTCGGTTTGAAGGGTGGGGCAGCCGTTGTAACTATACTTGAGACCTTAGAATTTATATCTCAGGGTGGGTGGCGCATTTGCTTTGTAGATGTCTATGGGCTCCAGTAACCATTCAACACCAGGTGAGCTGTGAGCTCGTCTACCCTTATAAGCAATAAAAAAAAATGTCGCGTATTTAATGAAATGTCGCTTAAACTACCCACCAAACCAAAGAGCCCACCAATCAATCACCCCTCGATATCTAATTTTACTTAGCTAGAACGTGAAATATAATACACCACATCTTTGGTGGCAAGAATTATATTTCAAGAACGCGTCATGGAATATGCAAAACGTAACACATTCGCAGTGGTCCACGTAGGAATATAACCGGTTACAGCCGGTCCGTGAGCTTTACCCGGTTTTAGGTAAATTGCTCCGCGCAACCGGGCGTGTTTTATTTATGTCCAAATAAAAATTGGCCGATTCCAACGGCTGAGCACGACTACAATTTAGCGCGCCTGTCACTCGTACTCCTGTCTGAATGGCTTTTATGGTTATCGGAAACGAGCCCCGAATCGGTCGGTAATATACGAATGGTAATAAACACTTAGGGCACTCCTCTCGATGGCACCCTGATTGCGAACTGATCCGATGTGTTTTTATAGCGAAAATGTTTAATATAATACTGGGTTTATTTGCGGTTTATTATTAATTTAACTTTTTTTATTGCTTAGATAGGTGGACAAGCTCACAGCCCACCTGGTGTTAAGTGGTTACTGGAGCCCATGGACACCTACAACGTAAATGCGCCACTCACCTTGAGATATAAGTTCTAAGATCTCAGTATAGTTACAACGGCTGTCCCACCCTTCAAACCGAAACGCATTACTGCTTCACGGCAGAAATAGGCGGGGCGGTGATACCTACCCGCGCGGACTCACAAGAGATCCTACCACCAGTAATTACGCAAATTATAATTTTGCGGGTTTGATTTTTATTACCAATGTTATTCCTTCACTGTGGAAGTCAAGCGTGAACATTTGTTGAGTACATAATTCATTAGAAAAATTGGTAACCGCCGGGGTTCGAACACAGGTGCATCGCTCAACACGAATGCACCGGACGTCTTATATCTCAGGCCACGACGACTTTAAACTTTCTTAATTTTAACATAACTATCTTAATATGGATAGAGTACGTTTTTGATGCCTATGTCCAGCAGTGGATTGCTCTAAGCCGATGGATGATCTTGAATATGAGCAGACGCACGTCTGGTGTTAAGCTTTACCAGTCAGTGTATATAGACACCGAATCATCAAAACCGCTGAGATACGTCTTACCGCTAATAATGAAGGTAGGAACCGGTTCGTTCGGTTAGGTAAAGTGAGATTATTGTCTATATATTAATACGTGAAGCAAAAACTTTGTATCCCTTTTTACGAAAATTGCGCGGACGGAGGAGTATGAAATTTTACACACTTATAGAGAACTAGTGACCCGCCCTCGCTTCGCTTCGGAAACATTAAAACACAAATGAAACCAAAAAAATAAAATAAAAAAAAATTTAAAAAAAGTAGCCTATGTCATCAGGGACAATGTCGGCTTCTAATGGAAAAAGAATTTTTGAAATCGGTCCAGTAGTTTCGGAGCCTATTCGAAACAAACAAACAAACAAATCTTTCCTCTTTATAATATTAGTATAGATACAGAGAAGAAGTGCACAAAGCTAATTTTTTTTTTAAATAATGTATAAATGATACATTAAATCAATAAAGAAAACATTACACACACTACATACCATGTATTTGACGCACACACGCATGCATACTATTTATTGTCAAACTTTTGTTCTTGAAGTCTGTTATCAAATTGAGAATAGATTAAATATGGTTTGTCTTTGTTAATATTTTTTATAGAGTAGTCTTGGCGAAATTTGTGATTATAGAAGTATAAAATACAATCATAATAGTGTACAAACTTACAATTCCAATTAATTATAGTCGAATTTCGACTACTGCGGGACCTCTAGTAAATATTAAAATGTAAGCAGGATAATAGTAAAGAGCAGCGCTGCCTGCTACGTACTAGTAGTGGTAATTTGAAAAGACCTGAATCACATATTCAGAAGAAGATGTGACTCTGGTCTTTGATGATAATAATCGTTAGTGTTCATCTTCGCCATAGCCCTAAGCATTTATTTATGTATTTATAGGAGGAGCAACGGTAACTAGATAAAATAATCGGAACAAATCACCCACGATTTGATCCTAAATAAGTATTCTCAGTATAAAGAAAATCAGAGCTTGATGAACAGAAGTTTATAGTTTATAGGTATACTTATATGTAGCACCCAGATGATGTGCAAAGCAAATCTATTCATCATCACACGATGAAACAAATGAACCAATGACCCCTAGCATATCAGTCTGGGTCGCTATCTACGCGCCTTTGAGTTCTAGGCGTTACAGCACGTGTTATATTATGGTTTTTTTATTGCCCTTGTAGGCAGACGAGCATACCCACCGCCTGATGGTGAGTGATTACCGTCGCCCATGGACTTCAGCAATGCCAAGTGAAGGAATAACATCGTGTGATAAAAATCAAACCCGCAAAATTATAATTTGCGTAATTACTGGTGGTAGGACCTCTTGTGAGTCCGCGCGGGTAGGTACTACCACCCTGCCTATTTCTGCCGTGAAGCAGTAATGCGTTTCGGTTTGAATGCAGCCGTTGTAACTATACTGAAACCCTTAGAACTTATATCTCAAGGTGGGTGGCGTATTAACGTTGTAGATGTCTATGGGCTCCAGTAGCCACTTAACACCAGGTGGGCTGTGAGCTCGTCCACCTATCTAAGCAATAAATAAAAAAAATTGTAGTATTACATTAGTAAGTATTAGTGAATGAAACTGCAATTGAATTTGACTCTAAATATACGTGTATAAACAGTATATTTTACTTTGCATTGGTTCTACTGAGTACAAGAACATAAATTGTCCCGCCATTTAGCAAAAGTAAGCCTCTGTTTTGGTTGTCGCCCCGCGACTGCCAATCCTGGCTGCAACACGCGGAACGACACATGTCAAGGATATTTCGTTCAACTGTTTCATATTTCAGTGAACTGAATACTCAAAAAATGAAGTTTTTATTAAAACGTTATTAACTTCCATTTTCCCGCGTGAAGCATGTAGCTGTCACGTGTCAAACAGGCAATGACCGGTCCATCTACGTAATAGGTTATGTATTATAAAGGCATCCAACTCACGCGGACACGTAAGACAATAGCCGATCCGGGCGGCCGTCGATTCCGACGAATCCACTTCCATTAGTTAACTACGGGCCTATTGTCGAAACCCACTTTAGTTGGCAAAACCGCCAAAACAGTCGTGAATCGAACGTTCACGGGACCAAATGGCCTTGATCCTTGATAGTTCATTGAATTTTGAGTGTGTAGTTTTGGTAGGTTGGTGCTGCGGGGCTCTGTGTAAGTTGGTGGTCTGTAATACGTTTAAGTCGCTCATCTCGGAATGGTATTACGGTATGAGCCCCCTTCCCCCGCCCGTCTCGCGCACCTTACGGCACGTGGTTCTGGGAATAGGGGTGTCACTGTATCGTTGTTAGTGAAATTCGAGCTTAGGTGCCGCGTCCGCAGTAATATTGTAAATGCATTTCCATCTAGGAAATTTTCGTGTGTGTGGAAACAGGAATATCACATTCCCAGATGCATTTCCTTGTGAATTTATGGTTAAAGTTTTCGTTTGATGAATTTTAATTTGAAATAGTAGTCGAGAGAGCACGTTTTGCTAGTTTAGATCGAATATTAAGTAACATTATCTATATATACCTATATAAATGAATTGCTGTTCGTTAGTCTTACTAAAACTCGAGAACGGCTGGACCGATTTGGCTAATTTTGGTCTTGAATTATTTGTGGAAGTCCAGAGAAGGTTTAAAATGTAAATATGAAAATGCTCGGAATTAAACAAAAATAACAATTTTGTTTTTCCTTTGATATTGTCCCCCGTCGGACGGATTCCTTTTGTTTGCTTTAAGTTTATTTTGTACAAAAGTTTAGGTCTTTTATTTATCGATTGAGGTACTACAAAGTCTGCCAGGTCTGCTAGTTTTTAATAAAAAATCGACTTCTTAATTTATATTAGCTACGATTTTTTTTTATATTTTAAATAGATATTAGGTACTTTAGTTGTAACACCATACTTCAATTTGCATTTTACTACAATATTTCACGGCTGTTATAACTTGTAGATAAATTTCTAAATTCAAAATTAAATTAAGAGAATGTGGTAAATATTGTAAAGATGATGTGAAGAAGTACAGCGAGGAGTTCTTATACTATATTTGTCGACGCGGTAAAAATTAAAAGAAAGTTGTAGTATTACACAAGCTTGTAATCTCATCTGTTGTTGTTAGTGTAGATACAGATAACGCTTCGTTAAAATATTAAAATTATTTTCTATAATATATGTACATTTTATATTTAAGTGACAATTTTAAATTGAGTGATTGCGTTAAAAAATGACAAAATTATCATTAAAATAAAAATAAAAATAAATATTGATTTTGGTGCATTGGAGGGTTGCTTCTGAAATGAACCCATGATAAATATGTACAGCTTATTAAAAATAAATAG